AGTCGGTGAAGCGTCCGACTTCGGCTCAGGTCACGATCTCGTGGTTCGTGGGTTCAGGCCCCACACCGGGCTCTATCTCTCTCCCTGTCTCTTTGCCCCTTCCCTCCTCTCTCTCTCCCTTTCTGTCTCAAAATAAATAAATAAACTTCACACACACACAAAAAAAGGTATAGATTTCAGAGCCAGGCTGCCTGGTTCAAATCCTGGCTTTCCATGTCTGGGCAGGTTACTCAGGTCTCGGTGTCCTTATCTATCAAATGGAAACGGTCAAAATAAATCCTACCTCATCGATCTTTGTGAGGAACACCTGTGGAACTTGGGACAGTATTTAAAATCCACAGTAGGTACTCTGCAAATCGCTGGTGCTCTCGTGGTATTTATGTCAACAATTAGGAATTCCTTTAGCTACAAGTAACAAGTGATCTATCTAATTAAAGATCCCGCTTTCTCCTCTGTTACCTCTCTTCCCTCACTGTCTCTCAAAAGCAATCATGCAATCACAGTCCATTTTTGTAAAATAGTAAAAAGAGCTAACGCGCTTATGGAGCACTTACTGTATACCCGGCACTGTGCTAAGCAATTGCCACCCACTTATCTCCAGTTCACAAATCAAAGGCTTAGAGAAGCTTGGGACCTAATAACCCAAGGTCATGGTATTCGTAACTGGTGAGCTGGGCTCTGAACTCTGATCTGTCTAGACTCCAGTCCTGTGCACTTGGCCGATGCTGTGCCACCAGATCGCTATACAGGACAGTGGCTGTGCAGTGATTGTTCCAGAGCAGGCTTTATACATTACAGATCTCAAGGCGTCGTCCCCAGGTTCAAAACCCTTCACTAGCTTTCTGTCACTTTCAGGACAAAGTCCGTGCTCTTCAGTTTGGCTTACCAGCCCGTTGCCAGCCTTCCCCTGCCCGCCATCTCTCACTCAGACGCGGTCTCTCCCCCTCTTCTTTTCCCGACCTCATTGCTCAGTGCCACCTGCTGACGAGCTGCCCCTGAATTCTTGCCGAGCTGCCGTCCATTTGCCACACTTCAAGCCGACCCCAACGTGCTCTGATTCCTCTGCTCAGACCGTCCACCCTTCTGCATGCTTGACCCTCCGGCAAGTCCCATGGGCCTGCAAAACTTGGCCGAAACTCTGATGCCTTGGGAGACTGCCGATTCCCCTGTGACTGGTCACCTCCCAGAGTGTCCTTCCGGAAATCAGAGTACAGAGGTCCCCTCCCTTACCTGCGGTTTCCGTTTGCCACGGTTAACTGAGCCCGGAAGTAGATGCTCCTCCGCTGACTTAATGTCAGATGGTCAACGGTCCTGACATTGTACCTGCATCACTGCTCTTGCTTCATCACGTGACGTAGGCATTTTATCATCTCTCCTCACAAGAGGAGGGGGTACAGGACACTAAGATGTTCTGAGAGAGAAAGAGAGCGACCGCATTCACGTAACTTGTTACGGTATATTGCTGTCATTGTTCTGTGCTATTACTATGGTTGTTAATATCTTCCTGTACCTAAGTTACAAAATGAGCTCTGTCCTAAGTAGGTAAGTATAGGAAAAAACAGTCTACTTAGAGTTCAGTAGTAGCCACAGGCTCAGGCATCCCCCGGGGTCCCTATACTCTGAGCATCTTTTTTTTTTTTTTTTTAATTTTTTTTTCAACGTTTTTTATTTATTTTTGGGACAGAGAGAGACAGAGCATGAACGGGGGAGGGGCAGAGAGAGAGAGGGAGACACAGAATCGGAAACAGGCTCCAGGCTCCGAGCCATCAGCCCAGAGCCTGACGCGGGGCTCGAACTCCCGGACCTCGAGATCGTGACCTGGCTGAAGTCGGACGCTTAACCGACTGCTCCACCCAGGCGCCCCTAGACTCTGAGCATCTTGAGGACACACATGGCATCTTTATTATCACTCAGTCCGACTTCCTAGCACCGTGTGTAGCCAGACACATGGGAAATGTAACAATCGTTGCTAAAATAATTAAGGCATTGAATAATTAATTCAGCTAGTCGTTTTTTTAGAACTGGGGCCTGAGGATTCCAAATGAGTCCATGAATGCACTCAGGGAAGGTGTCCTCGAAATAAAGTGCAAAATTGTGACTACTTGGGCACTTTTAGAAGAGGGAGTTCAGAGCCTATATGAGATTCTTTTTTTTTTTAAATTTTTTTAAACATTTATTTATTTCTGAGAGACTGAGAGAGACAGAGCACGAGCAGGGGAGGGGCAGAGAGAGAGGGAGACACAGAATCCAAAGCGGGCTCCAGGCTCTGAGCTGTCAGCATAGAGCCCGACGTGGGGCTCGAACCCATGAACCACGAGATCACGACCTGAGCTGAAGTCGGACATGCAACCGACTGAGCCACCCAGGCGCCCCCAGAGCCTATATCAGATTCTTAAAAGCGTTTGTAATGGAGAAAGATTTAAGAACCACTGAATCCCGGGGGTAACCAATGTAAGTCAGCAAACATTCCACAATGTTTTCTGGCTAATTAACCTATTGCATTAAAACTAAGTTACAGTGATTGCAAGATGCCCCTTATTTTAGGCCACTTAAGAAACGCCCCCAAAAGTTTGACAGGCCGCTAAGATGCTATTCTAGCTTGAAAGATGATAAAATCTAAGAGGTGCCTCTGCCCTTTTGTTCCGTTCTTTTTCTTTTTTGTAATGTTTATTTATTTTTGATAGAGAGTTTGAGAGGGGGAGGGCAGAGAAAGAGGGAGACAGAGGATCTGAGGCAAGCTGCGTGCTGGCAGAGGCAAGCCTGATGCAGGACTCGAACTCATGATCTTGAACGTCAAGATCACGACCTGAGCTGCAATCAGACGCTCGACCAACTGAACCACGCAGGTGCCCCAAGTTCTTTTTCTTTTTTTTAATTTTAATGCCAGTATAGTTAACAGACCGTGTTGTGTAAGTTTCAGGTGTGCAACACAGTGATTCAGCAACTGTACACTATTCAGTGCCCATCATGATAAGTGTGCCCTTAATCCCCAACCCCTATCTCACCCATCCCCCACCCACCTCCCCTCCAGTAACCGGCAGTTCGTTTTCTATGATTAAGAGTCTGTTCTTTGGTTTCTGTGTGTCTCTCTCTCTCTCTCTGTCTCTCTCCCTCTCTCTCTTCCCTTTGCCCATTTTTTGTTTTCTTACACTCCTCGTTGCAGTAAAATCATACAGTATTTGTCTTTCCCTGACTGACTTAACATCACTTAGCATAATACTCTCTAGTCTATTCATGTTGTTGCAGATGCAAGATTTCATTATTTTTTTTGAATTTTTGATGTTAATTATTTTTGAGAGAGAGACAGAGAGACAGAGACAGAGCATGAGCAGGGGAGGGGCAGAGAGCAAGAGGGAGACACAGAATCTGAAACAGGCTCCAGGCTCCGCGCCGTCAGCACAGAGCCCGAGGCGGGGCTCGAACCCACAAACCGTGAGATCATGACCTGAGCCGCGATTGGACGCTTAACCGACTGAGCCACCCAGGCGCCCCGAGATTTCGTTATTTTTAAAGTCTGAATAATATTCCGTTGCC